AAAAAAAAAAAGCGAGAGGGCGGTAAATGTTGCTGACGCAGGAGTAATGACATTAGGCGCAAGGTGAAAATAAAACATTTGAATAAAAGCGAAAGCAGCAGGAGGCTGTAAATCTGCTCCACATTTTGCCGACGCCTCGTCCTCCACATGTCACGCTGTGCGCCCGCCTCGCCCAAATCAGACACCAGTGAAAAAGACCGCCGATTGGTTCACTCTTTCGGCGGCTAGTTCACACCAGCGTGAAGTAGGACTGCAGCTGTTGAATATTTTGGTATTCAGATATCCTACTGAAAATTCTAATGAATAATCTAATATTCGGATAAAAACACAAACTCTGTATTTTAGCTTGGTTAAAGAACAATTATGAATACAGAATTAAAAAAAAACAAAAATACAACGCATTTCACTTAATGGTTTTAATTTTTATATAATCTACATTTTTTTAACTTAAAAAAACTGCATAGGATGAGATGGCAATAGACGAATTCAGACAGTAGTGATTTTGCGGTCTGAAACAGCACTTTTGAGTGTGCCTGTTTTGTTAAAAACTGATCAGTATCTACTGCAACGGTGTCAGGCTGTTAGCATCAAATTGCGCAGTCATTTTGGCCTCTTGCTAGCCAATATTGGGCACTCGCTTAGTGGCTAGCTGCTTGCCGTTCACACTGGCAGCAGGCGCCTTATAATACAATGTCAGCGTCATTCATTTAAACTTTTTTGAGCGTTTTTATTTAGTGATTGAACATGATATCAGGATGACATGTTGATATTGGTGGCAACGGCTTGTGACAATACAAACTGGCCGCAACTGCAACCAGGAAGTGAAGCCAGCTGCCACACGACCAAAACGTCCAAATAAAACTGTACCAAGGCATTGATGTCCACATTTTATTTAGTTGACATTGAGTTTTTATTTCATTTTCGCATCTTTCACTACAATGGACATCAGTCCCTGTAATGGACATATTAGTTGATGTCAAAGTTGTGCATCAGCTACTACAGTGCACTTTATCTTTGATGTCCAAAGTGTGCACGTCTGCTAAAATTGCAAATTACTTGACATTACTAGTCTCTCTTGAAGGCCAATTTTTTGCTTTTAAGCTTTTTCCAAAATTGACTGTCTCCTGGCGTCTGTTTGACTTCAATGATCTCATGACGTTCTGTTCCTGTCAATCTTCAGCAGCCATGGACAAAATATCACCCCCGGTCAATATTTTCTAACGCTAACATGTTCCCAGCCATTACAAACAGTTTGCTCGTCGCGATAAAACGACACACAAACTCCAAGTGTAATTTTATCTGGTCGCCGTTGTCACGGTAACACCACTTTGCCCATCGATGTGTCTTTATGAGCGTTGCTCTTCATTAAGCACTGTGTGCCTTCAGAGAAACATGGTCACTTAGAAGGCTTGTGATGCTCGACTTGGTATCCGTGCAACGGGGGCCACTGCTTCCTCGCCCGGCTGCCGTTGCCCGGGTGACAGGCTCTGGATGCCGTTCAAACTGGTGAACGCATGCTGACACTTTGGGGGCCCGCAAAAAGGTCTCCCTTTCAATGCAAACGACCCGCTTTGCATGATTTGGAGACACCTGGGCCGAAATCCCGAGGTGAAAACAAATGGCGGCGCTTTAAGATAACACGAGGCAAATCTTAATGTCATCACAGGGCATTATGCTCAAACACTCCCCCGTTGGAGGCTTCTGTGGGCAGTCATGCAAAGCAATGTCATTCAAAAATCAATAGGATGGGACCTTCATCACACACAAGATATTTGGTTGAGATGAGAAGCTTCAAAGCAATATGGCAGACTTGCAGTAATAATAATAATAATAATAATAATAATAATACATTTCATTTATAAGCACCATTCAAAACACTCAAGGACACTTTACAATCAAAACAAGAACAATAAAACCACAGATAAAATTATAAATAATAAAAGGAGAGATGAATTTAATTTAAACTGAATATGCGATTTTAAATAGCTGACGCCTGGTTTTGAAACGTGGCAAAATGACAAATGTCATGTTGCGAAGTCAAACTGGCTATGGGGCCTGATTTATTGTATTTTTAATTTTTTTTTTTAATTCTAGAGAGGATGGTACAGAACCAAAATGGCAGCCATACTTCCTGTGCCTTTTCAGGCATGGCTTCTTGTGACTTGTTTGTGGGTCTGCACATGACTGAGAAGCCTCCCAAATATTATGTTTCGAACTCAGACTGACTTTTTTTTTTTTTTTGAATGTGTGTGAAATACTTACTTGGACAAAATGGAAGACTTCCTGTGACTTTTTAGGCATTTGAGCTTTTTTTGTGGGTCCATACATGACTGAGAAGCCTCCTAATTTTCATGTTGCTAAGTAAAATTGACTATGGGGGCTCACTGACTGTGCTGTTTTGTTTAGCAACATACAACATAAGTCCACAGAATTACAACCAGTCCCTGGCCACAAACCCAAACCAAATAATTCTCCACAGCCTTTCTTTTGGGTAAAAAAGCCTCTTTGTGTGGGCTGAGCTCATCCAGCTCAGGTATAAAGTCGAAAAAATCCGCCCGGTGGGGTGACGAAATCCAGATGAATAATGATTGCACATGCTTTGCTTTGCCCGTGACATATTCTTCATTTTTCTTCACCCCGTTTCACTTTTAAAGGTGAGAAATCCCAAATCCTTTTCCTCCCAAAATTGCCTGCCACTCCACTAAGACTGGGTAGCATGGT